GGTCTACAATAGAAGTCGTAGCGGTTGTAGGGTCTTAAGTCGTAGAAAATTGACCAATCACAGTCGAATATGAGTAGAATAATCAACTGTGATTGGTCAATTTTCTACGACTTAAGACCCTACGACTGCTACGACTTCTATTGTAGACCCCGCATCACAGTTGATTATTCTTCTCATATTCGACTGTGATTGGTCAATTTTCTACGACTTAAGACTCTACGACTGCTACGACTTCTATTGTAGACCCCGCATTAGACCGAAATATAGATACAAGCGCTACGGTCACGGAAATTCCGTTAGACGCGATAGGTAGTCTCTCTAGTATTTCGATATTCTTGGTTCTTTTCCAATGACATGACAGTCATAATAACATAATATTTATTTAATTTATGCAAATTAATTTGTGTTACATTTTGCTAACTATGAGTTGAAGTAAAATAAAAAGAAAAGAATGTCTGCGGGTGCGGAACGTCCGGCTTCGATGCTCTTTCAGGACAGTCAATATAACTGGACGGACGATCTACCAGTTTGTAAACAGTCCGGTATGTTTTTCTTTGTTATCCTAACATTATATTGATTAATTATTTAACAATAACCATAGAAATAACAATAACATTAATATTTTCAGCACAAAGTTAATTTTTGGTAGAGAATGTATGTTTATTACTTGATTTATGCCCGTATTCATAGTCAGACCTTGTACGTATGTAAGGCTTCCTTAAATTTATCTTTAGATGCTCAATAGCCAATGAAATAATTCATAAAGTATCTAAAGATAAATTTAAGGAAGCCTTAAATATAAGGCTTGATTATGAATACGGGCATTAATGAATTACAATATCTTTTAACAAGTAATGAAAAAACAATACAACTCTTCGCTAATTTTTTTGTTAGATTTATACAGACAGTATATATTAACTGTTTTTGTTATTAATACTTGTTATTTTTGTCTGGACTTGTCATGAAAAATAATCTATAAACTATGTCTTAAGATTTTATTTTGCATAAAAAATATATTTAATTATATTGTATTTTTACTTTGATACTTTATTAGGGAGGATCCCATTAGCACACAATGTGATAGCACATATCTACTTACATTGGCCTGAGCCTAGTAACTTTTCACTGCTTTACTAATGAGAATATTTTATTTTAAATTGGCCAATTAGCAATGCATGCTATCAAAATCCTCTCCTTTACATAAAAATCAATAATTACAAAAATTATTCTATGAAATTAATGACAAGTATTTTAATTTATATGTCAAATAATAATTATATACAAAGTTTATATAAAATTTGTACAAAGTTATATACAAAGTTTATATAGTAGAATTATTAGAATGTGATAGCAGACTTTATATGATATTCCAGGAGTAGGCTTTTCTACTAATCAAATCTATCGAGAAGATGGATATCGACAGGAGGAGCATTCATTTGAGGATCGTAGTTTTCATTGTAAATATGACGATTCTACGTTTCTTTATGCTGTATTTGATGGTCATGAAGGTACTAAGGCAGCCAACTTTGCTATGCAAAGGATGGCCGCGGAAATCTTGCTTGGGCAGTTAAACGGCAAATCAACCGACGAGGAAGTAAAGGAAGTTCTTCGGTAAAAATTTCATTGATATGAATAAATTTAAATAAATAATATGATTAAAATTTCAAAATAACTTTAACATATATTTTGTTAAATAAACTAATATGTTACAGTTGCAACCAAAGATCTTCTATATGTAAAGTATTTGTTCTACAGGCAAGCATTCATAGCAGTTGAGAAAGGATATCAGGAATCAATTGGTGATTTATTAGCAGAACGTGCTAGTCTACAGTTTGATATACCCGATGGACTTACTCCTTATGAGACTTACCAAAAGTTTCCAGACTTGGTTAGTCATAATATTAAAATTGTACAGCTGCATTTTTTAATGCATTATTACAATTTATTTTTTGCAGGTTGACAAGCTAAACGCGCTAAATTGCGAGCTGTCGGCTGGAACTAGTGCTGTGATTGCTTTAGTCTACAGAGGGAAACTCTATGTTGCTAATGTTGGAGACAGCAGGGCATTGTTGTGCAAAACAGATAGCAATCAAGTTTTACGAGTAGTACAATTAAGCTTAGACCATGACTTGAGAAATGAAGACGAGCTTTTGCGATTGTCTCAACTAGGTTTGGATGTCGAATCAATCAGGCAAGGTAAGTCTGATGTATCTTATTTATTCAACATTTGTTTTGATTTAAAAAAAAGGATTATGAATAGAAATATATATTGCAGGATCTCATCTTGGAAATCAGGAAAATACACGTTGCCTTGGTAATTATCTTGTTAAGGGAGGATACAGAGAGTTCGAAGAATTAACAGCTTCCCTGGCAGAACCGATCATTGCTGAACCAGAAATTCATGGAAGTATCGAGCTCGACGAATCTTGTAGATTTTTATTGCTTATGTCGCGTGGCCTGTATAAATCATTAGAAGAAGCGACCGGAACAGATCAAGTCAATAAGGAATTGGCCTTGATAGCGGTTGAGCAAGTAGTTAACTTAAAGTCTAAATAAATCTTGATATAAATCTTGATTAAACAGTCAATTAAAATCTCATAAATTCATTTTAAAATATCCAGTTTCGAGTGCAATCGACTTTAACTGGAGTCGCCCAGGCGGTGGTCGACAAAGTCGTGAGAATTCATCATGATATAAACATGAGCAACACACAGAGTACCATGACCACTGGCAAGCGTGATGATATAACTCTTTTAGTGCGGAACTTTAACTTCCCGCTACCGCACGCACTAAAGAGTCCAACCAGTCGTCCCGATCAATCAGTCAGATTTAATCCCGTGGTGCAGACTGCGCCAATTAATATGCTAGACAACGAGGACTTGTCAAGCATCAGCACAGGTGTTACAGATGACAATGCCGATACATCGACAACTGAAACATCAACGACATCAGATTTATATCCGCCTGGTGCTAGAATGGCGGAGCGAAATGCTAGAATTAAGCCTTACGTAGATTTTTCTGAATATTATGAAAACATTGAAAAGAGAAGAAAAGAGGGAACTCTACCAGAAGGTATAGACTTTTAACATTTTGTTCATTTTAAATGATGTAAAGTATATTTTTGAGATAAAGAATATTTTATTTACAAATTATGTATAAATTATTGAGATCATTATATTGCGACTGTGTTAATGTACGTGAATGTTCCTATCATTGCAACATATTTTTAACTTTGAGATTGTATTTATATTTATTATCGAAATATAAAATGTAATAATTTTCTAACGCAGTATTATTGTATTCTTATCATCAAAATTTATTACCAGAATAGGACTTGGACTATTACACGACTTGTATTTACATATCACAAGTGTTACAAGTATTTTGTTGGGTTAGATTTCAAGCGCTCGAATGCAGCCTTTTCGAGACATTCTCTGTGATCGGGATGCGCGATTTGGATCAATGCATTCGCCCTTTGTCGTAAGGTTTTACCAAAAAGATCTGCCACTCCGTGTTCCGTAACTATATAATGCGCATGAGCTCTTGTTACCACTACTCCAGCCCCTATATAAAAAACACGTTAATATCATAGATTTATTAAATAAATAAAAAGATTTATCTCGCAGCATTCGTTTGTTGATCTTATACCAAGTTTCAGCACTGGTTGTATTTTACTCTCCCCTTGGCTAGTAACCGAAGGGAACGCGATAATAGCTTTTCCACGACCGTCTTGACTAATCGCTGCGCCTCGAAGAAAATCCAGCTGGCCGCCGAAACCGGAATATATTTTACAACCCAAACTGTCAGAGCACACCTGGCCAGTGAGATCCATCTCGATACAAGAGTTGATGGCCGTCATTTTCGGCTGCATCGAGACAACTCGGGGATCGTTCACGTAATTGATTGCTAGCATCTCTAGCATTGCGATAATTACGATTACAAAATAACGCAAAAACATCCTTTTTTAAAACCATCGAAGTTGATCATAACCAATTGATCATAATTACCGACGACTGGATTATTGTGCAGGAAATCGTACAATCTTTTTGTGCCGACGGCAAAGGAGCTCACTATGCGTCCTCTGTGCTTGATCTTGCACCTATTCGTGATGTTGCCATGCTGAACTAAGTCGACCATCGCATCGCAAATGTTTTCAGAGTGTATGCCTAGGTCTTTATGATTGACCAAGGCGCAGAGCACCGCGTCAGGGATGCAGCCGATGCCGAGCTGCAGTGTTGCTCCATCTTCAATCAACCGCTGTGCGATAATTTTACCTATCTCTTGTTCGAGATCATTAGGCGGTGGACAAGCTACGCAGGGCAGAGGACAGTCGTATCTCACCGCCCAATCAAAGTGACTCGAATGTATCACTGTGTCACCGTACGACCTCGGCATGTGCTCGTTTACTTGCGCTGAAAAGGAATACTTTCTTAATGATCTTAAAATTATTTGAAGTATAGCATAGTATAGCACAAAAGACTTATAATATTGAAGATTAACTTCCAGACTCTCTCCCCCTCTCTCTCTCTCTCTCTCTCTCTCTCTCTCTCTCTCTCTCTCTCTCGCTCGCTAATCAACATACTACAGTATACTATCAGTATACAGGATGTCCCGAATTTAAATGGCTAAACTTTAGGAGCGTGTGGGAAATCGATAAACTAAGAAAAAAAAGTCATTTAAGGATATGCTCGTTTTTATTTCGTTTTGAAGAAAATCGCAAAAGAAGACAAAACGTAATTTTCAAATATTGTTTTCAAAGCGAAATATTATTGTTTTCGTGTACGACATCAACGATAATGTTTCAGAGGCAGTGCGAAAATATACGTGCCGATTTCCAGACAAAAGAGTGCCGGATCGGCGAGTCATTATGTTAATCACATCAGTGTTTGGCTGCAACATGAACTGTTCATACAAGATGCAATGCATGCATTGCAAAAGGCCAACATTTTGAACAATATCTGCATTAAGCAATGACAACATGAATAAGTGTAAATAAGAAGTAATAAATAGGTACAAAAATGAAAACTATATTTTGTCTTTTTTTTGCTATTTTCTCCAAAATGAAACAAAAACGAGCATGTCTCTAAAGGACTTTTTTGCTTAGTTTTATCAATTTTATATGCTCCCGAAGAAGTTTGGCCATTTAAATTCGGGATACCCTATATATTAGGATAGTTTGTTTGGTTGCAATTATTATGATTATTATTAACAGTATCATCATTATTACTAATTCAAAACGGACCAATGAGGACTTTGCTTGTGCAAACCGCGGCACGGGTACAATCCGCGCTCACGCCGAGCGAACAGAATCCACGCGCGTCAGGCATGCTCACATGGATTAGCGCAATATCTGGTACGATCCTTTTTTCAAAGAACAATCTCGGTGCCTCGTGTAAGAATACCGGGATGCAATCCGCTCGTCCCTCGTTTATTGCCTCTCTAAGACTAGTACCCACATATAGACTGATGGACCTGAAATGCTCTTAAACATCGTTGCAGGCAGATATTTCATTATTTATTTCTCATTCAGACATTGTTATCAATGGGATTAATTAATGTAAATACCGTACTCTCAAATTCCGGATTGGCGAATGGTGTATCTCCTTCAAGACTCATATGCACTAATCTGACTCCACGCAAATTATTGCATACTCCGTGTTCGGTCATGGCACGCACTAATTCCATTGGCGTAGCCGCACCACCCTGTATGAAAACTAAATGCTCTGGGAAAGAAAATAATTTATTTATAACAAACTTATCTATCCTACAGTAGCATTTATAACAGTATTAAAAGAAAAATTTTCAAATTATCATAGTTTTTATTTACACATTAGAATTAAAAAATTGAAATAATTATGTTAAAAATTAAAACTATATTAAGTATTATAATTCAATGAATCTAGATAACTTCTTAAACGAATTGTTAATTTTATTCAATTAAAAACATTTTTGGAAAAACAATTCTTTTCTATGTAGAAAATAAAATAAATATTGGTCTAACTAAAATGTAATGCGGTTATAAGTACCTGAATTTATGATTTTTACTGCATCTTCCACGCAAACCCATTTTGGACATCGTTTTAAAGGTTGGGAAGGTTCCCTAAAACTTTGCATGTATCGCCATCCACATAATTGGAAAGATTTTACGTGCTGAATTTTTTCGAATACCAATTTTAAATTTCGGAACATTTTCACATCGTCTTAAAATCGATAAGACTAAATCTTCAAGCTCTCGTTGATAACACAATATATTGTATAAAAATTAATATAAAACATAATATAAAAAATCTCGCTGTTCGCATATGTCTAGCGAAGCGAATCCGTTGACATTTCTATCTACAAATGTCTATAAATCGTTACTTGAACATCTGATTTGGCGGCGTTCGATTTTTCGACAGCTTCACAATCCATGATCGAATTATTGATGTGAATTTTTCGCATTTGAATTGAATATGAACATGAACATATAAATGCAAATATTATTTCATTATTTTATTATTTTTAAATGTAAAAAATATACAGGAGATATAATAAGGTACTAACGGTAGATCGGAGTTTTCAACTTATAATTTTTTCCTGCGTACAATTTCAACTTTTTCACATTACAATAACACTAAAAATCATACAAAGAAATTTGACTTTAATGTAAAAATGTTTTACATCTGGAAATGTCAAGTTGCACCATTTTCTGTCTGAATCGTGTTCCAAGGCACAAGAACACGTTTTTTTCGCGATATAAAATACACGTGTCTTAAATTAATATATATATATATATATATATATATATATGGAAACGATGCGACCTAGCATTATAAATTCTTACGTACATAATGATACAATTTAGCGCATTTTTCGATCTAATACATATTTCTCTCTCTCTCTCTCTCTCTCTCTCTCTCTCTCTCTCTCTCTCTCCTCTTCTCTTCTCTTCTCTCTCTTTCTCCTTTATTCTAGAAGGCCAGTGAATTGTCTTCTAGTAAGAGAGCATGTACAATGTCGTACAAGAAGACATTTTGATAGTTAGCCGTTGTACATGGTTAAAGCACATGGGAAACTGATTGTAGAATGCTATTAAATATGTTTCCTACATCATGCGCTTTTTAATTTATGGGGCGGGCATTACTTTTAGGCGTTCGAACGCTGCTTTCTCGAGCGCTTCTCTATGATCGGGATGAGCCACCTGAATTAACTCATATGCACGTTGCTGAAGACTCTTGCCAAATAGACTGGCAATTCCCTGCTCTGTCACTACATATCGCACCACCGCTCTATTGGTGACTACTCCAGCACCTGTTAGCATAACATGACGAAACAATTGATTATGATTTATTTCATACATTTGTAACTATCAAAATTAATGCAAAATTTAATTATTATAAAATCAAGTCAAACATTCATGTTTTAATTAAAAAAGTGATTTCATCTATTTACCCGATGTTAGAACTGGTTGTATTTTGCTTTGGCCCTTAGAGGTGACTGATTGAAGTGCTATGATCGGTTTTCCTTGTCGATCTTCGCTCATCGCGGCGCCTGTGATAAAATCTAGCTGTCCACCAAAACCGGAATACATTTTCGTACCAATACTGTCCGCACAGATCTGACCGGTAATATCCACTTCGATACACGAATTAATGGCTGTCATTTTCGGTTGCTTGGCAATTATTCTGGGATCATTAACGTAATCTACCGCCAGCATCTCTGCAAGAGACAAAGACTATCAGATATATCTGTTATTTTAAAAACTAGCAATAATTACAAACGAAAGACGAACACAAACGAACTGACCTATGAAAGGATTGTTGTCCATAAATTCGTAAAGCTTTTCTGAACCCACGCAAAATGAGCCAACAATTCGGCCCTGGTGTATCGTCTTCTTATTGTTCGTGATGCAACCCTTGTTCACAAGATCCACTACGCCATCGCTGAACATCTCGCTGTGAATACCCAAGTCCTTGTGGTTACCCAACAACGACAATATGGCATCAGGTATACTGCCGATACCCAGCTGTAATGTGGCACCATTTGCCACCAAATTCTCAGCGATATGTTTACCGATCATCTGCTCAGCCTCGGAAGGCGCTTTCATCGGATGAACTGGCAATGGTATGTGATGTTCCACGGCAAAATCCAAATGACTTTCGTGAATGAGAGCGTCGCCGAAGGTCCTAGGCATGTATTTATTGACTAAAGCTGCGAAAAATTTAAATTTCTTTTAAATTCTGTTACCAAAAGAGACTAATCTTGCGAGAATGTTCCGAGATTTACCTATGACACGTTTAGAATAACTCACAGCGGACCGAGCACAGTCTATACTGGTACCGAAGGAGCAGTAACCCTTTTCATCCGGTGGAGACACATGGATCAGAGAGATGTCAGGCTTTACATAGCCCTCCTTGAAGAGGCGCGGAATCTCGTGCAGAAAAATGGGAACACAGTCGGCGTTGCCTGTGTTCACCGCGGATCGCACGTTACCACCGATGAATAAGCTAATTGATCTAAAATGCTCTAAACATTTATAAACGCATTACATTTATATATATAAATAAATTTATTATACAAAAGTTTTATTTTTAAAGTCTTTTAATTAATTCAGATTTTCTTCAGCACAAATCTAATTTCCTTTTCTAAATTTCTTGAAGTTAATTTTTTAAAAATCTCATCTCTATTAAAAATAAAGCATATTTGTAAATTTCAAATTTTCAAAAGAAAGAAAAAGAGGATGCTAAGTTAGGGCCGTTTTTCGACTAAAATGAAAAAGTTCGAGATGTACAAATTATACATCATATTAAGCGGCTACTCAAGTGGAATTGAATGGTATATCGCTTATCTTGGGAAAACGTCGAGAACATGAAAGAAATCGTGATCAAAACAAATAATGATACATATCATCAAAGTTAATATTTATTTAATATTAATTTGATGTGGGATTTAACTTGGTGCCAATTGTTGATATCAAATCTTTTTTACGAATGATACATATCATTAAAATTAAGTAAATAACAAAGATAGTACCACTTGGGTTTTACATTTTAATTTGATAGAATTTGACTTGATTAGATAAGATTGTAACATCTGGGTTTTAATTTTTCATTTGATACATTAGTTTTTTTGAGAGGAGTAATAATTTTTGACAGAGAATTAAAGCTGCCATTACTTGGGTTGGAATAAGAAGACTTTCAATAAGAATATCCTTGAAGAAAAATTAAAACTACAATTAATTGGGTTGAATGCTTAGATTTTATTCGAGAAGCACATATGCTTAGCGCCTTTTTTATCCTTTTTAAAAAGTTTGTACTGATCTTTTATACGAATGATACATATCATTAGAGTTAAGTAAATAACAAAGATAGTATCATTTTCGCGTAGGGGCAGAATGGACTAAACTGAGAAGAAAGGTCGTCTACCATTTTACAATTTTCGCAATAGTTAACAAGATATTAATTACTAAAAATTATCGAAAATTGGTCTTCAATAATTTTTTACTCAAATACTATTAACTTTACGAAAAACTGTAATAGACAAAAATTGTTTCTACAAAAATTGTTTATTTTCTTCTTATAAGGTTCGGAGAATTTTTTCAGAATTTTTTAATACCGTATTCTCTCATGTTGGTAAAAATAAGAAAATGCAGTACTAAAAAGTTGATAAAAAATTCTGAAAAAATTCTTAGAGCTTTATGAGAAGAAAATAAACAATTTTTGTCTGTTATTCAGTTTTTCTGTAAAGTTAATAATATTTGAATAAAAAATTATTGAAGACCAATTTTCGAAAATTTTTAGTAATTAATATCTTATTAACTATTGTGAAAATTGTAAAATAGTAAAGGACTTTTCTTCTCCATTCTGCCCCTATGCGAAAGATTTTTTATTACTTTCCAAACACCCTGTATAATTTGTACCTCTCGGAATTTTTACATTTTGGCCGAAAAACGATCCTAACTTAATATTCTCCTTTACATACAAGCTTATTCAGGTAAAAAATTATGCAAAATATAGTTAAAAGAGACAAAAGTCAGCCGTGCAGAGCCAGCTGTGCGGCGCAAGAAGTGTGAGGAACAAAACAATGCGTTAAGTGCGAGTTGTTATTGAGATATTACAAGAAAAGCAGCAGGAGATTACGTATGTACACGAATGTAACGTACTTGCGTTTTCTGGCTTAGCAAACGGGGCTGGTCCCTCGAGATGCATGTGGTATAAACGGACATTTCTTACATCGCAGCTTACCCCGTAGTCGGTCATTGCTCTCAGTAATTCAACGGGTGTTGCCGCCGCACCCTGAACGTACACCACCTGATCTGCAAACAAAAAGAATTGAGAATTCTATGCACATTCTTTCTATGCACAAGATTTCATCAAAGTAAAATTTACTCGAAATTAAATCAGCACTGAGATCAAATAATAAGATTTTGTGAACCCAAAGAGTATGGCTGGATGGATAGAAATTGTATGCCTTCCAACAAGCGACACAAATGACACGGTGTGACACAATGGATCATTACATCCTTGTTTGCCAATATTAAACAAAGATGACATGATCATTCCCATACAGCAACAAAAGTTTTCAGAAATATCTCAGAAATATTTCAACTGAAAAGTGAAACATTTCATAAAAATTGCAAAATATGTTTGCAACATTTCTGAGACAGCTTTGGAATAGCAAAATGTCCGCGATTCTTGCACCTTGTTGAAAGATTGATGAAATGTTACAGAAAAAGAATCTGTAATCTTTTTGAAATATTACCAAAAAGTTTTCAGCTATTTTTAGTACTTCAAAAATGATATTTAAATATATACTTAATTGATACTTAAATAATATTTAAATATCAATTAAACATATATTTAAATATCAATTAAACATATATTATATTTAAATATCATTTCTGAAGTACTTTAAATTTATTAAAAGTTTTGTAATCTATGTCTCGGTAGTCTAAAGGCTTAGGACGCTCGCACGGAATGCAAGAGATCCGGGTTCGACTACCGGCCGAGGCATTATTTTTCGCAATAAGTTTTATTACAGTTTTTAAGTTGGGGAATTTGGGGGGATTATTAATATTTTCAGATTTGATTGCGTTGAAAGTCCGACAACCATATCGGCACGCAATTATCATTTCTGAAATTAATTCATTTAAATGAATTTACAATAGTTCAACATCTTAACGTTCTGACCGTTATGGCGCTTCTTAATTTAAAATTATTATGTTTAACATTAGCGGTCTTTCAATCTTATTATTTTTTGTAATCTATTTACAGATTACAAACTTATTGAAATAAACTTAAAATATTTCTCAAAAATGGTAATTATATCGCTAATTATTTTGATTAATTAATCACGTTATATGTATAAGCATATATACATAATCACTAGAAAAATAGAAAGTCACTTACATCTGCAGTTTCCAAACAATATCATTATTCATATACAAAAGTTTTTCGCAATTAAAGTAGAACAACTCACGATAACATCAAAATGATATTAAACTGAATCTTGATTGATCAAAAAATTACTTTTAGTAAACATTTTGGAGCCATTTTAACATCATGATGATTTTTTGTTCTATTTTAATGTTTTTCAATTTATTGTATATGATAGATTTTAGAAACATTTCTGTTAAAACATTTCATATGACATATTGCAGAATACTTTCAGAATTGTTGCACATGAGCTGTGGAAGGTTGAAACATTTCTGAAAATTTTCCGCAACAATCGGTGCTGTATGAGACGTGTCGCACTGTGTCGCTTGTTGGAAGGCACACATTGTAAACCAAGTCCCCTTCTTGGCTATTATACGCTGAAGTGAATAAATTCTCTATTCTATATTCTATTCTATTCCAATAAGACTTTGTAAGCTATTATATTTTTGAGCCCTACGATGTTTAAACGCATTTATTCACGTCCTAAAACGCATTTTTTCAATCCTAAAACTGCATCAAAGTGACATCTCTCATCATTTTTCCATTTTGTACTTTAACATTATCTTAAATTTCGATAAAAAATTTAATATTTATATAAAGATTTGCATTTACGTAACTAATTTAACATTATATGGTTTTAATCGTAATGCAATTTGTAATAACAGCTTATGGATACATTTTTGCAATGAATCTTATGATGAACTTACAATCAATCTTTTTCAGAATATTATTATCATATATAGGGTGTCTCATTTTAAATAAAATTTCTCGAAAATTATGGGGTTCCATTTAAAAAAATCGACGTGACCTTGACCTGGCCTTGGCGATGCCATTCAAGGACAAATCATTGATATCTTCTTATGTTCCCCTCCGAACCATACAACTTTTGTTTGAAACATTTTTTTGTATCTACCATAGTTTTCGAGAAATCTTAATGCATTATTTAAAATGGGACACCCTCTATATGCATTATATTATTGATAGTTAATGAAACGTTATTGCTGCATGTAATCATATTCAATTACAAAGGTTAATAAAGAAAAAATTGTTCTACGCTAAACTGATATGAAGCTAACTTTTGTACTTTGGATCCCAATAGGGGATCCCCTATTGGGATCCAAAGTACAAAAGTTTTCGACCATTAGTTAGTTTCATATCAGTTTAGCATAGAACAATTTTTTCTTTGGAACTATAGATTATAGCACGTTATGATTTAATATTTACACGGTTTATCGTAATAATGGCATATCTCTTAGTAAATATTTTAAGTGTTATATATTTATTTGGTTGATTACAGATCTGTTTTCTATAGCTGAACTAATTTTTAGAACTTAAGTGAAATAAGTATACGTATATGATATTTGGCTAAAACAAAAAAAGTTCTAATATAATCTAGTGCACGAATAAAAAAGCCGATCTCATTTTATTAAATCCGAGTGCATCTAAAATATTAGTAACAATTTTTGTAGGGTATTATTTACCGAGAGTGCAGATTAATTGACAATCCCACACACATTCCACTATTATGAAATATTAACTTTATCTATAGCAAGAAAAAAAAGTGTCTATTACCAAATTGAATTTTGATAATAAACGGATATTCGATAGAAGTTTTTATCGCACATATCTTATCGGAATTCTTGTTAAGCTAGAAAAATTCCTGTATTTACTTCGAAATACTTCGGCATTACATTATATTCAATATATTTATAAAAAATATGATCCACTCATTCAATACATAATTTATCGAATTAGTTTAAAAAACAGTTTTAAATCCAAACAGTTTTAAAGACATAATAATGCAAACATTGTAAGAAGGAATTTTTAATTTTCCCATACAACAGTATGTCAAGTAATACTATGATCTCGAAACTTATCAGCTATGTATACATCTGCAATATGTTACGTGATCATGTATGGCTCTCGTACTTATGTCATGTTTTAATTAATGCTCTATGGACGAGTTTTCTTATTGAAAGATACCGCCAATAACCCTAAAGATTCTAAATATTGAAGTAGATTTAAGACTGCAAAAATAAATTCGTATAAAGTGCGCTTCTTTATGTAAAATGAGCATGATTGCACAGGAAGAGAATCGGTAGATTACACATATTGTTTACGTTATGGAGATATATAATTCGATTTACTAACGGCAAAACGCTAGTTAACGAAACGTTAATAGGCGATTACAAGCTGTATTTAAATAAGAACTAGACTTTGATATTTACGTATACATACAAACGCATATCTGTATATTTACATATCGAGGTCAATATTGATAATGGTATTGGTTCATTTTTCTAGTGTTATCTACACAGCTGTCAGTGATTTTTTTTCATCAGTGATTTTTTGATTGATTGAAATACGAAAAATATATTATAAAACGAATAAAAAAACTGTGAGAATTATTTATAAGTCACAAATATAAAATGTACAGAACTCATATGATTTAAATTATAGAAATGGCATGAGAATAAATTAGAGACGGCACTGAAAGTATCAAGGACACTTTATACAACAGAATGACATCACTTTAGACTACGCAAGAATAGCAAAAATAAAAGAAACAGTATACCGTGAATGTAATTCTAGAAACAAGTGCGGTTTACATTTATATTATTTACATAATTTATACGAACCTTCTTATACATATAAATTACGAAATTATTTATATGGAAAAAATAAAAAAAAAATTAATTTTTCAATATTTCTACACGTAGCAAGTACATTTCGAGTCAAGTTGTTAATAATGGTAATGAACCATTTTTATAATTGCTTAACATCGGTCGACCATTGAGTTTTCTTTATCTACAGAAATGTAAATGCTTCATTTATGTTCTTTGCAATAAACATGTCATAAATTTTTCAGTAATCGGTATAACGAATCGATTTTATCGCAAACACTCGGAAAATTTGCATAAGCACATTGTATATAAGCAGCGTTAGCAATATTTTGTTCTAATTTTCATAATCAATTATATGAAGCATGAATGAATATTTATGTCTACTAATATATAAGTTATTCAATTGAAAATTTATCGAAAACATAGATAATCTAACTTATCTAAAATTCTAATTAAATTTTCAGGATTCTTTTACTTTTCTATATAAACTTACCCGTTTGAATTACCAATGCATGTGTAAACATTTATAATATCAAATAAATCAAAAGAGACCCAATTTTAAAGTATTTGTTGTCACAGCGCTTAGCAAATAATTCTTTTATGATTTCCTTAACTCTTATTAAACGTTAATTTGCATAAGGCACAAACAGATATATGTAATGAATGTTAATTTTATGCTTAGTTCGCCAAGAAAACTAAAATTCAAACATAAGAAAATTAAAAATTTCAACAATGCAGCATAATTATGAAAAAATAAATAAATTATAGTTGGTCACGAATGAGTTTATCCATATTGTCTAGGGTAAGGTCGTACCAAAAATAATACCGCGAATTCAAGGCGAAATACTAAGAATATCTCGAGTCGGCACTAGCAATAGATTATCTCATAAGTGGGGATTTGTCATGGCGCGAAATTTGGCCAAACACAAATACGTGTAACATATCGAGCGATCAAATTTTACAGAGAGATGACATGGAAATATTTGTACCGAATACACTTGTGCAAATATAAAAGTGTACAAATCAGTTTCGATTATTTACTCGATCATTTATGACAGAATTTAAGTATCTAGACGCGTACATTTTACAAAAATTAATAATAAAAAAGATAATTACAAATCATTTAAAACTCATATAACTATAATATGAAATGTTTTACATACATATAATATGAAATGTTTCTTCTAAAAATTAATCTATATAAGAACCGTAAATGTTTGTTTCATTTGTAACTGGATTTCTATAAACAAGAGTTTAAAAACACAAATATTTGCAAAGTTTAAATTACACAGTAACCTTTGCGGTGTATTACCGTCTATCTCACCGCATATTTGCCTAGTTTAATCCAATCGCGAGGGCGATGAGCGGTGGCTCGTTAGAAAGGAAGTCCAATATACATATACATACATGTACATACATATACATATAATAGGTGCTCTTGAAAATCGACGCTCAACTGCATATATACATACCGATTATCCGTTCAGTCTAGAATATCTCAGGCTATATATATCTCTCACTCTTGAATAAAAAGGAAGAACAATATGAATAAACAATATGAAAAGATTTGACATTACAGAATTAATTCTATTAGAGTGAAAAAATAATTGGTATCATAAAGCATACCACAAGTGCCAGATAATCACAACTATTTTATAATAGTTCCAGATTGAAATATTTCTAAAGCCTGTTAGCAGATGACTAACGCAGATCCATACGTCATCGAGACTCACATTTATACTTAGCTGCGTCAACATTTTATGATGTATAAAGCAAATCGCTGTCTTAATTTTTACTTGTTAATCTCATCTGGTCTCACATATGATATAGTATGCTTTTTGTTTGATAACAAAGCAATCCAAAGGTCGTTCTATCCTTCTTGATATTCCATAAATAATAAAGGTAGAACGGTACTTGTGTCGACTTGTGTCACCAAATGGAAAGCACCGATAGAAAGAAAACCGACATTAGAGAATCAACTTTAGATATCGAAATTGAGCGGTGTGATCGAACATTTGGTTAATCCGGCCGAGAAATCTATGCAACGCTCCTTTTTCGAGGTTGGTAAAGGAATGAAAGTTAATCGATTACCTGAGTCGAGTTCGGCCTGTACGATGGCCTCATCGGCGGTCTTTAACCAGCAGGGTTTCTTGTCGGGGATCGGCATTGAGGGCTCGTTCACGTACGTAAAGAAGGTCTTCCTCGTGGCATGCTGAAGGCAGGGTCGCGACGTAGACGTTATCGTCGCGAGTGCCCTTGTTAAGCTAGTGATACGTTTAAGGGCCGCCATCACTTCGTCCGCTCACGTCGTCTACTGGTTGTCACCGATGGTGAAATCACTCCCGCGGGCGCACTGTACTTGACTCTCTCTCTAACTCAGGTTGATCTGACTCAGATTAACTCACAAGCGCTTGTGAGCGTCGAAAACCCCTCCTATTCATATACTTCCGCGATAACGCTGAAACGCGACGACCACTACTCTACTCTGCGATGCCGCGCGAAATTCAATAAATGGCAATGACAGAAAACGGATCGCGGGGAGCCAGGAGGCAGAAGACGTAGAGAGAACGCGTGAATGCGCGTGAACGGCGTAAACTAAATGCAGCGCCGCCGCCGTGCCGGAGGCTGGAGGCCGCAGCAAGCCGGAGCTCGGATTTGCGAGCCACACGCATGAATATAGCGCCATATCGCAAGCCATATGAACGTAGCGTCACGAGTTTTCGACTCTCGCACTTCTCGCTCTCGACTCTCGTCAGTACCAGCGATCGCGCGATCGCGCGTCTCAATGTCTCATTATCTAATTAATTAATTTAATACATATATAATCAAACATGATAAAAGGAACTACAGATATGCTCGTTTTCGAGACGAATTTCGTACCGTTCTGCGCACAGATTCTGCGGTCATTTTAAACATTTGCACCGTGGTAACTTTGAAGTGACATATCGCGAAAATGAGTAAAAATGAGTACTGTGGTACGTATTAAATAAAAACGTGTAAAAAAAAAAAATAGTTGACAAAAAAAAGAATGCATAAATTTACATTTTTGTCGATTTCCGAAGGAACAAGCTTTAATAGATGATAAAATGGCAAGAAGCTTGTGGAACAAAAAATGTCAATGTTAAAAATGGTATGTAAGAAATATATAATACATGTTAATATTAATTATTAATTGTTAATTGTTAATGTTAATTATTCCTTTTAATAATGTTAATTTTATTCATGTAGGACGCATCTGTTACTCTCATTTTGATGTAGCAGCGTACAAAGAACCTTTATGGATGCAATTTCTTTTGGGATATTCACTGACACAGAAAAGAAAATTAAAATTCGATGCAGTACCCACACTGAATTTAGTATCATCAATCAGCGATGATATATAAATATAAGCTTCAATAATTAAGGAGATCCTAAAGCCATCTGTATTACCGACTGAATCATATAATTTTTGTATAACAAATACTTTTTTCTCTTTCACAGATTCGAAAATCCTTTTCCAGGATTAAAGTATATGCATTAATACGTATTTGTGAGGTGGAGTTTATATCAGGAACGACCAAAAATTTTGAAATTGATATATTTTTTATCACTTCTTAGCATAACATGGCTCAAGCTGTCAAGTTGTGACAACATTTGCTTGATACAAAAGTTTTGCAACCTGTACTTACGAAATAGTGATCCACAAACACGTACTTTGCACGAACAAATAGCGTCGAGTTCTTAGAATTAGACTTAAATACTTTATCACGACGAATTTGTTATACAGAAATTGACACGAACGTGCGACTGTGAATGTATCATAGTTGTGTGAGATATTAGTGTGGTAGTATAATATAGACATGTCGATACGCTGAAAAAATAATGACATCTAGTGACTTTGTCGGAGTTCGAGCTTTGCTTTAGGATCTCCTTAAGATTCGAATGTATTATTATTCTGTATACTTAATATAATTTCTTATTGGCTACTGTGTCGCATTTTGCCGAGCGCGCGGTAAACACAATATACACAATATAATTTAATAATTTGTTTCAGATGAATGATGAATCCGCAATAACACCGCGATAAATACTGCAACAATACTGCCTGAAGAGCAAATGGAAACTTCAACTTCAAAACTTTCATTGTGTAAGCAAATTACATTACCAATCATTCATTTGCTCGGAGAGAGAGCTAGCTGCTTTGTCCACCACAACTTTCTACCACCAATCAAAGGCGTATTTCTTGGAGATTTTATAGAAATTTTAGTATCTTGCGAGAGCAACAGATTGCTTCGTAAACTATACAATTGCATTCTGTGAATCGTTTATAATTTATTATCGTTTGTAATTTATATGGAATGATCGATGAGAGTACCTAATCGTTAAATTAAATTAATTTATTTCACTAGATATATATATAAAGAAATAAAAATAATTTTATATTGTATATATATATAATTTATATTATCTCGTAAAAAATATTTTTTAGAATAGATTAACAACTGATCGTTATCTCAATTAGTTCGAAATACATACTCGCGTGCAGGGTATTTTTGCATTTAAAATACCATTTAAAAAAACGTAATTCTATTTAAAATGCTAAATGTAAAATACTTAAAAAAATGTATATTAAAATGTATGTAGAGAAAACCATTCTGTATTTGAAAACTATTTAAAATATCTATTTACCCATTTTACATATAAAGTGGATTCGAAAAACATTTTACATTTTAAATACATTTTTGTTTATATTTGGTATTTTAAATGATTACCCAGCCCTGCTCGCGTGATAAATCACCGGTATTGCGATGCAATTACGATGCAGACGGTTTGACGCGCAGCCGTCAAACCGTCATCGCGCATTGAAGAAACCGCCATTTTTCGTCAATTGAACAATGAGAAACGGGAGAAATATCAAGGAATTGCATGGATCCTTTCATCCGTGGATCTTACGAATAATTACATCGATGTTTTTCTTAATTTCCTTAATGCCTTTCCTTCATATCAAACAATGACTTTTCCTTAAACTCGGTTCGAAGGGAACGTTTAACGATTTACCTAGTCCGAGCCACGTGATTGCACGTGCCTCGTCTTCCATCCTTTTCTCATCTCTCCCACCTCCGCTACTATTATTCTTCCTCTCTTTCAAAGCATATATTTAAGTTGTCTTTCACGATTTATTCCAAGAAACGCGATTCATTCTAAGACACGAGACCCGAAAAAGCCACTCCCGAGATCTCCTTTCTCAATTTCAGTATATTTTATCCATCCTCTTTTTTTCCCCCTTTTGCAGTCGCATCAATCCGTCTCGCTCTCTCTTTCTCTCTCTCCCTCTCCGTCGACGCAGCCAAGCAGTAGCGAAGCAGTATCTTCTGCTGTTCGTCGGATCGGAGTATTTCGGAGTGAATGCTGAATAGTGGTGGATAACGCGCGAGTGTGAAACGTTCTGAGAAGAAGTCTCCCACAAGATGTATTCTAAGACCATCAGCAATCATCAGGCGAATAAGGAGCATGTACTCGCCGTGTCCCGGGATTTCATCGCGCAGCCTCGTCTCAGTAAGTAGCGTCCACGTCGACGGTGACAAGGTGGAGATGCTCGGATACATGGGGCATCCGCGATTGGGCGTAGCATCTGATCGATTCTCCAACTTGGGGTCAGCTGATCCCACTTGAAATTCTGTCTGCATCATGCATTTCGACAATTTCTCGCGCGCAATCCCGAGAGATGAGACTGCCGTCGTCCTCCCATGGGTTTATGAACTTGCGAGGAGGAGAGGAATGGAGAGATGATTCCCCGAGGACGCTCGCGGGTTTTATCGTTCTTGAAGTTCCCTCGAGCTGCCAGCGTTGTCATGTGACAACTCGTGTTTGCTTGAACGGCCTTCGTGACTTTTAATTGCTCCTTTTAAGTTTTTGAAAAGTCTAGAGTGGTCTGAAAAAACAGTTCTTTTATCTTGGGGCATAAGAAAATAATTTTCCGTAATGTTCTTTTTCTTAACTGAAAGGTACTTAAATATTCGTGTGATATTTTCCCCTATGGGCGTAACCTCATTAGTACTGACACTATTCATGAAATTGATATAATACAATATGAAGGAAATATAAACGTTGAATAAATGCTGAATAAATATTGAACACATATTATACAATATATTTAAAATAGTTTTGACAATTATGAATTAATGAAGGCTTTTTAATCGACAAAGTTGTAGAATTATTCTTAGAATTATTCTTAGAAACGATTTAATTTATTAATGTAGTAAAAGATATTTATTGCCATTTGTACGTTATATTTTTATTTATTGCATTTATATAAATTTATATACAGGTATCAATCTATACCTCAATTTCATATGTCTAAGATAAATATGAAGTTAACAATAATTGGTTTTTCTTTTAGCTTATAAAACAGTATCTGGAGTAAATGGTCCATTAGTGATATTGGACGAAGTGAAATTTCCAAAGTTTGCTGAAATCGTACAATTGAAGCTCGCCGATGGCTCCCTACGTTCCGGTCAAGTTTTAGAGGTCTCTGGTTCCAAAGCGGTGGTCCAAGTTTTCGAGGGTACATCTGGCATTGATGCAAAGAACACTCACTGTGAATTCACTGGTGACATTCTGCGAACCCCGGTGTCCGAAGACATGTTGGGCCGTGTCTTCAATGGCTCGGGAAAACCGATTGACAAGGGACCGCCTATCCTTGCAGAAGATTATTTGGACATTCAAGGACAGCCTATTAATCCGTGGTCTCGTATCTACCCAGAGGAAATGATTCAAACTGGAATATCGGCCATCGACGTTATGAACTCTATCGCTCGCGGTCAAAAGATTCCCATCTTCTCCGCTGCTGGTCTGCCGCATAACGAAGTATATCTTTTGTTGTTTGCTTTTAATTATTCACAGAGGGATATATACATCTCCTAAAATTTAATTCAGTTTTTTGTTATACAAATTTTGTAACTTCGGCATTCTGAATCAAGAAGATTTCACCCTCCAATTCTTACTTTATAGATTGCCGCGCAAATCTGTCGTCAAGCAGGTCTTGTAAAAGTGCCTGGTAAATCGGTTCTTGATTCTCACGAGGACAACTTCGCCATCGTGTTCGCGGCTATGGGTGTTAACATGGAGACTGCACGTTTTTTCAAACAGGACTTCGAAGAGAATGGCTCTATGGAAAATGTATGCCTGTTTTTAAATCTGGCCAACGATCCGACGATCGAGAGAATTATCACGCCTCGTCTCGCCCTAACGGCGGCCGAATTTCTGGCGTATCAATGCGAGAAACACGTGCTAGTTATTCTCACGGACATGTCCTCGTATGCTGAGGCGTTGCGTGAGGTCTCAGCCGCTCGTGAAGAGGTACCAGGTAGACGTGGTTTCCCTGGCTATATGTACACCGATCTCGCCACGATCTACGAACGTGCCGGCCGTGTAGAGGGACGCAACGGCTCCATCACGCAAATCCCAATTCTTACTATGCCGAACGATGACATCACTCACCCAATTCCCGATCTTACCGGATATATCACTGAGGGCCAAATCTACGTCGATCGTCAGCTGTATAATAGGCAGATCTATCCACCCGTAAATGTATTGCCGTCTTTGTCGCGTCTCATGAAATCCGCCATTGGTGAGGGTATGACGCGAAAGGATCACTCTGATGTGTCCAATCAATTGGTGAGTTTTGTTATAAATTACGAAAAAAATTATAAAAATGTTTTAGTATATGAAATAAAATTGTGATACTTTTTCATAGTTCTCTTTTCTAACTATTTAAAAAATACCTTTAAAAAAAATTGTTTGTTATAATTCTAAATACATCTTTCAGTATGCGTGTTACGCTATTGGAAAAGACGTCCAGGCGATGAAAGCTGTCGTGGGAGAAGAGGCGTTGACGCCAGACGATCTGTTATACTTGGAATTCCTATCGAAGTTTGAGAAGAACTTTATCTCGCAAGGCAGCTACGAAAATCGCACGGTCTTCGAATCGTTGGACATCGGCTGGCAGCTTTTGCGAATCTTCCCCAAGGAGATGCTTAAGCGAATCCCAGCCAGCACCCTCGCGGAATTCTATCCGAGAGATTCCCGTCATTAATCCTTTTATTTGTCTCGCCTTATGCGTAAGCTTATTTTAATGGAATTGCGCGTACAAGTCCGATTTATCTTCTCTTTGGCATTAAAAAACACTCCTGTATCTATAAGAAAGATCGATGTAACGTGATAAGAGAATGATTAAAGAGAATAATTAAACAGTGTATACGTTATCGGATAATAAAGGAAAAAAAAGGAAGGAGTAACGCGCCTTTGTTACAGGCTAAAAAATATTAACGTTACAAGCTTACAGGATCGTATGTCGTTTTTGATGTTGTGCAATGAGAGTGTAAAATGGATAGTAACGATATTAATATGTAAAGTAAACTGAAAAATTACAAACGATTTATGCTTGCATATTAAATTTGCAAGTTGCAGATCCGAGTTTGCATATGTTATCTCTATCATGGAAATAATAAACACTGGATATAATATTGTTTCAATATTTGAGGATGTGTTTTGCTTTAGAGCTACTGCTCACTCACGCCAAGCAATTATTGTAAAGTGTAATATATCTTTCAGTATTAACGTAGATGAAAAGCATAGACGAATCCTTGATCACGTTGTATTTGTGTGTTCCCAACATTCCACAACGAAATTCACATGTATAAGATTCTTTGAATCAATCTGAAGGAGAGATGTTTAACACAATATGTACAGTTATCTCTAGAGAATTGTTTTGAGCGAAACATCGTCGTGTATCGTCTTGTAAAAGACAAAACTGTATATGTTAGAAATAGAGAATTAAAGGAGAATTGTTGTCTTTGAAGCGCCGTTTATTTAATTTTTTTATACCAATATTAAATTTCCTTGTTTATACATTCGTAATTAGTGAGCACCGTTTTTGTTAAATTCACAAATTTTGGCAGAGAGTTTCAGATTGAAAGAACTTAAAAGTGTTCAGATTGAGAAAAGCAACTTTGTTTAACAATAGCTACAATTCTCGTTTAATATTATTATTAAACCATTGAATATTGCCTCGTTATCGATTGAAATCGAACAAAAGAGAAATTATAAAAAAATATCTAAATTAATAAAGAGAAAAGATAAATTTCAATTGCTTTAGATTTAAATCTGCCGCTTTAACTACGATGAAAGATGGAATATATGTATTAAGGCCATGGCACCATGAAGTAAGACTAGTCTTACTTCATGCATGGCACACACCTTCCGTAACAGTAACCATAAGACCTACCGTAAGGATCAGCCAATCACAGGCAAGAATTCTTTTGAACTCTTAATTCTAATTGGCTGATTCTTACGGTGCCGCAGCACACTTCACCATTATTTTTTGAAAACGCTGATTGGCTGTCCGGATATTGGATAGTCAATCTGCGAAAATCTTTGGCTAGAATTGCCAGATTGGGCGCGTTCAAGTTGACAAAGCGGCTAGCCTGTTCGCCGAAAAAATAAACATAATTGGTTGTTACTTATAGATCCAATCAATCATTCAATCGCTCAGCAAGCATGCCTAGCCGCTTTGCCGTCTTGAATTCGTCCATTGATTGAATTTGAAATGATTTGAAAAAGATCTTGTTTATTCTTTTTACCGGTTCGCGCCATTTCTATTATTAGCAATAAATAGTGAAGTAAGCGAGCTGATTTTTCAAATAAGATGAGTGCTTGAATGCGTAAGATGGTAATAATTTAGAGGATACTTGTATTTTTTCTATTTATTAACGTGTTATATTTGGAAATTTCGATTCAGTATGGAGAATAGGGTTATGTGAACTATGTTATATGTTTATAACTTGTTTATTGAGATAATTTATTGATAAAATAATTCAGAATGAAAGAAAGCTAAGTGTGTCTATCCAATCAATTAAATTGAAGTATCCAATCGTCTAACCAAAATCCATATTTTTTAATGACATGAAGTTATTAAGTAACAATGGATAAAGTAGATTATATGTTTGTATCTTGTATTTATATAATATATTTCTTGTTTTGTATGTACGAAAGATTCGATCATCGGCTCCTAGTCAAAGGGGAAAACGGCCTTTGCTCTTGGATATACCACATGACATTGTAGAATTAACTCAATCTGAAAATTATATACAAGAGTCTAAAAGAAGAACCAAGAATGTCAAAGATATACAAATACCGGAACGCAAAGCTGTTCCTCTTTCTGATAATGGTATCTGCACGATGCAAAAAATAGTGTCCGAGCACGTAAGTTTACTTGTAAATCATTACAATCTTTGTTTTATATCTTTATTAATTTCATTGTTGTGATAAAGTAACATATGATATTGAATTAGGAAGAAAGAGTAAGAAAACTTCTCAGTAAACCTTTCCAAATACCAATACCTGGTTACCAATTGTCTGGACGAGTTCTTGGATTACGTCTGCCAGGACCACGTAGGCCATTGCATGATCCTGATGAACCCAATGCATTAATTGTTTATTCACCACCAGAATTATCAGAGCACGATAGACTGAAAGTAGATCTGTATGTATTAATGTCTTTCCAAATATATGCATATATTTTATACTTCTTATAATATAGTATAATTGCAGTTTACGTTTAAAATTATATATTTTAAGATCAAGTTATATGTATTTAATTTTTGCAGATGTAAGCAATTGGTACATGTAGTTGTAGATCCTGTATTGTGCAATGTATTACGACCGCATCAACGTGAAGGCGTAAAATTTATGTATGAGTGTGTAACAGGCAAACGTATAGAAGATGCATATGGCTGCATCATGGCAGATGAAATGGGTCTTGGGAAAACACTGCAATGCATAACTCTGTTATGGACGTTGTTGAAGCAGGGTAAAGTGTTTAAAGTTATTGTCAAAATTAGAAAATAGAAGGAATAATATAATAAAAAAATATTTGTGTTATGTGTAGGTCCAGAGGCTAAACCACTAATAGATAAAGCAATTATAGTCGCGCCTAGCTCTTTGGTGAAAAATTGGTACAACGAAATTAACAAATGGTTGAATAATATGGTCAACACTCTTGCTATCGACGGAGGAAAGAAAGCAGACATTGACACGCAACTCATCCGTTTTATGAAAACTTATGGTAGATGCGTAACTCCCATTCTCATTATAAGTTATGAAACGTTTCGTTTACATGCACACGTCCTGCATCAAGATGAAGTGGGCCTCGTATTGTGCGACGAAGGTCACCGTTTAAAGAATTCTGAAAATCAAACGTATCAATCTTTGATGGGTTTGAAAGCTAAACGAAGGGTGTTGCTTAGCGGAACGCCCATACAAAATGATCTTTTGGAATACTTTTCCCTCGTACACTTTGTTAATCAAGGATTATTGGGAACTGCACAGGTAAACAACCTTTATCGTCTATTATGTTATATTGACATAATGTTATTTTAATACACATGATATATAGACCTATCACTGGAACTATTCTTTCAGGAATTTCGAAGAAGATATGAGACACCCATATTACGTGGCCAAGACGCGGCTGCAACAGATGCGGAACGTACACTCGCTCAAGAACGTTTATCTGACTTAGTATCCATTGTTAATAAATGTCTGATTAGACGTACTAGCGCTTTACTTTCGAAATATTTACCATTGAAACACGAACTCGTGGTATGCATAAAGATGGGAGAACTGCAAACGCGGCTGTATAAGAATTTCATACAAAGCGATAGTATTAAAAGATCTATGGAAGGTATAGATTTAATTCTTTAAATAACAATCTTTAAGATAATGTTTCGCCAGTATTATATAATATTGACATATGAATATATATATTTTATATTCTCCTTACATAGAGAATGATAATCCAAAGAAAGCAGGCAGTTTGTCTGCTTTAGCCGCTATAACTCTCTTAAAGAAGCTGTGCAATCATCCCGATTTGATATATGAAAAAATCATGGAAAAGGCAGACGGATTCGAAAAAGCTGCATTATTGTTACCACCAAATTACTCTACAAAGTAAGATTAATTTATTATTTGATGAAATGTTTCACTAGATAAGCGAGAATTTTTTGTTTTAGAGAGCTGATGCCAGAATTATCGGGCAAACTGATGGTTCTGGATTGCCTACTAGCATCTATTAAAACTACAACCAACGACAAAATAGTACTTGTATCCAATTACACACAGACTCTCGATTTGTTTGAGAAACTCTGCCATAAACGTTCTTATAATTATGTGAGGCTCGACGGAACGATGACGATTAAGAAGAGAGCGAAAGTAGTCGACAATTTTAACAGCGACAGCAGCAACGATTTCATCTTTATGCTCAGTTCGAAAGCCGGTGGATGTGGTTTAAATCTTATAGGTGCGAATCGTCTCGTCATGTTCGATCCAGATTGGAATCCCGCAAACGATGACCAAGCAATGGCCAGAGTGTGGAGAGACGGTCAAAAGAAACCGTGTTTCGTTTATCGTTTTCTTTCTGTTAGTATTAGAACAGTATTTTTATCAAACAATAATTAATGAAAATATTTTCTTAGTAATATAAAAATTGTATAGTTATTTATAAATAATTAAATCAATAATATACATATTAAACAATGTAATATGTTTTATATTTCCAGACTGGAACGATAGAGGAAAAAATTTTTCAGAGACAAGCCCATAAAAAAGCATTGAGTTCCACGGTGGTCGACCAAGAGGACGACGTAGCGAGACATTTCACCATAAACGATTTGCGCGATTTATTCAAATTGGAGCAGAACACTGTTTCTGATACGCACGCAAAGTATGAAATCGCTAAAACTATTATTTTAAACAATAAGAATCTCATTTTTAGACCATATGTGTGAGAACACAATCGATAAACTAGAAGCCTATACCGGTCGAAGTTAGATCTTTTTTTAATGCTTTAAATAATTTTTAATGTGAATTATATATATATGCTATAACTTGCATATATACTATATTTGTAGTCCTTCAAATTGCGCGCTATAATATTATTTTAAAATTATTTGTATATATATCTGAAACAAGAGTAATACTATTATTTTTGTTTAGGTTCAAATGCAAACGTTGTATTAATGGCATCGAGGTGAAAGGTCCTTCGGAGCAATCCGATTGTAATTCTGATCTGTCCGACTGGCGACACTCACATAATCCACGGCATTTGCCGGATATATCGTTACGACAATGTTGGGCTAGCGGTATTTCGTTCGTTTTCCATCATCGTTCACATGAACAAGTAAAATGACTCTTGCTAATGACAATCTGTTAGTAATTTATTTCCAAATTTTACGTGTAATTATAAGAATTAGATATTGCGAATATTGATAAGAAATATTGTAACTGTAACAAATTATCTTGTTAAGACATTTATTTGAGCAATAGTTTTTCTTTTTTGAAAATAAAAACGTAACAGCCCGGAATTTTACTTTAATACATGATTTTTTTTTAATATACGCTTATTGTATTCGTAATTCAATTGGTTTTGTAAAAGATGGTTGCAAAACATGCGCAGGTGCAATTTATATCAATATAAATGTGCCTTACATTTTCTGTAAATAAGTTAGTTGCGTTTATGTATAAAAAAGATGAATTTTGGATAAAAATAAGGGATATATTTTTGATACGTTTCTCCAGATGTAAAGATAAACTTTAAAACAGTACAGTATTTAAGATGTTAGGATTAATAAGAAATATTTTATTTATATACGCAAATTAAAAATATTTTTGTTATAAATACTTGTGATACATATATTTTTGCCAAAGTGAATAAAAGAGTGAATATAAAATATTTACAATAATTTTAAAGAAAGTCTGTTGGAAATAGATGAATTATTCTCTAAAGGCTCTAAAGTTATGAATTTGTAACTTTTAGCTTTGATGATTTCCACAAATATACAATTTTTTTAAATATTCAAGTTCATATAAATGAAAATTGTAAAAAAATAAACTTGAAACGTTGCATCAATTGATTATTATTGCCATTTAAAACTTGAGATACCCTAAAAAGATGACTTAGTACGTGGTTAGATTTATAATATTCGTACGGATATCCTCCGAAGCAAAATTTACGTTTCAGCATTTTTCCTGTAAAACCAATCGATTGTTATATATATATATATATATATTTCTCGCCTTATCAGTTTTATATTCTCTGATAATCTTTTCATGTACGTTTTATCTAATCAAATGGAAAACAAATTTTTTTTAATCGTTGGGATAACGCTGCATTTACTAATCATTGTAAAAACAAAATCTTAGTTCGTTTAATGAGATTCAATAAGTAAACAACATGCTGGCGCAACATAATCATGTGCAAGTATCGAAAAATTATTTTAATGATAAACAAATTGTACAATGTATATACGATCTTTCATTATCGTATTCTCCATGCTCATTTCGCGTGGCCTGTGAATCCCGTGATTGCGCGCTCGGGAGATACGCCGAGTCACGCACCTGCGCTTACGATGGCTTACAAAGCCGAATGTTTTCAGATCGCGCAGTAGATCGCGTCACGCCTTTTGCAGCAGTTTCGTATGCGTATGCGGGACAACACGAATACAGCGGTATCGAGGAATTCTGTCTCGCGCGGCAATGAGAGATTGGTCGCACTTGGGACCGCGAGAACGGGAGAAAGAGGTGCGGTGCGGTGGGACGAGACGGAGAGGAAGGGGGGGGAGGGAAGACGGGTTCGCGGACGCGAGAAGCGAGCGGCCGCGCGGCGTGCGACCACGTGATCGACGGACGCGGCAGGCGATTGGTCGAGTCGCGCGTCGCTTTCCCTCCTGACCTGCTGCTCGCTTGTTCCGCCACCGCGCCATCGCCGCCATCCGACGGTTTCCGCAACGGGCGTCTGGCTGGGAGGCTCAGAATAGTTCCAGATGTGGCCATGTTTAGTTTCGATCTCCGAAGTTTTGCGCTCATCGTCATATAAACCGCTACATTTTTATACTGACTGCTGAAAGAGTAAATAATACGCATCTGTCCGACCGATCTCGTACTCTTCGTCTTTGCCTGCGACTCATTTATTCGCTGCATCCACATGCTGTTTTAACGCCCTTGCCGAGAGATCCGAACGACGCAGAGACGCGAACGAACGAACGAAATAGAAAGACGGGGAGAGAGAGAGAGAGAGAGAAAGAGAGACATTTTGTTTGTCGTCGCGTTTGACCGTCGCTCCGCCGATCTCGTCCCGACGGGACGTCGGAGCAACGCCGAATCCGTGACACCTTTGGATTCTTCGAGATCGCGAGATTTTTCGTTCTCCCGTATCTCTCGTTCGTCCCGTACGTTCTTCATTCTCTCGGCAAGAGTCGCGAAGCATCGCAAAAATCCGCTCCGTCGTTCCCTATCTCTGTTGCTCTCGGGATATTGAAATTGAACGTTCGTCGTTATTTGGAGAAAGAGAGAAAGGAAAGAGAGAGAATCAACGTCATTGTCGTATAAAAGAGAATCGTGTCTCCGTACGGTTAAAATCGCAGAAGTGAAAGCATCGTTTATTTTCGGGGAAGGGGGTGAAAAAGAACTTTTCGTCTCCGAGAGAAAGAGCCGCTTTCTTTTTCTTTCTCTCGATCCCTTTTTTTCCCCCCCCTCGCCCCTCTTCCTCCGCCGCGCCCACGCCCCTCTTCTTTTTGTCTCATTTTCCGGCGGGTTTTCGACGACGAGTACGCACGCGCGAGCGCGTTCTCATTTTCAGCGCGTCGCACTTCCGTTTCGGGCACGTCGCGCGCGCAACGACGTCACACTCAGACACACAAAGCGGACGCCGGCGGGGGGCAAGGCAGACAGGCAGGCAAGCAAGCCGCAGAGGCAGACAGGGTGGGTAGGTAAAAAGATAATCGCTTCGGGAGAGAGACGCCCACAACGATCGCTGGGTCAACCGTATGCCACGTCAGCCAGAATGACGTCGTTCTCGCGACGACGAGAAAAGGAGGCTCGTGCGATCTGACGGTACTCCAATTTTCCACGCGCGACACATTGGTCGAGAGAGAAAGAGAGACCCACGCGAGGGGACGAACAATATCGCTAGTGAAAACAAAAAAAAAAACGAAAAAAAAAAAGGGAGATCGGTATCCCGTATCTTCGATGAGAAGGCGAGAGAAAGGGAGGAGACCGAGGGTAGAAAAGCCAGCCGAGAAAAGTGCACAGTATATATCCGCGTTTATTCAGTTTGTAAGAGAAAAGACTTCTGCGAAAAGCTTGCCTGTCTCTAAACGTTTTTCAAGTCCGAACTTGTCAATAATATTCGCGAAAGTCTTTGTGAAAGATGAAAATGTAACAAAGTAATCCCCCGTAGAGACAGAGCAAAGAGAAGAGAGGACGCGTGAGTCTTCGGTGACATAAAATATCGTTTTTGAGAAAAAGAGAGAGAGAGAGAGAGAGAGAAAGAAAGAGAGATAGAGATAGAGATACGACGGAGAAAGGGAGAAAGAAAGACAAAATAGTTTCTTTTCCAGTTCCATATGTGGAGCGCTTATTAAGCTCTCCCAAATGCTAGCATTCGGTCGACGCGATTATTCCGTCAGAGCAAAGACCTGTCGAGTGTGGTCGGGCAAATCGATCGTATGATCCGCCGTCTCGGCCGATCGGACGGCCGCAGTGCTGATATAGGAAATTCGGTACTTCACTCCGGGGTACCATCGAGAGCTCATACGCACACAGATCGAGACTCGATCTGCGGAACCAAAAGCGAAAATGGCAGTAGAGAGTGTTTCCGCGGCTGAGACTCTGATCCAAAGGTTTGCCACCTAAACTATATACTATCGTACTCTTCCGCGCGCTAAAATATTCTCATTTAATAATTCGACCGGCGAATGTGGGGTACATACAGAGAGGCGAAGGAAAATTTCTCGCGAGTGACATTGTAATCATCCTTCACGCACACCTGTACACACACACACACACACACACACACACACACACACACACACA